GTGCATTGTGGAGAAACTCACTCTGATTTCTTTACAGTGGAGGTGACAGAAACTAAATGATAGTTACATCTGAAATCTGAAAAAATAAATATACATATATTGTTGTTTTTGAAGCAAAACCTTGTATCTCCAAAATGGTAATTTTACAGGAAAAGGAAATTTTTAATGTAAGTCAAACTGGAACCAGATTCTTTAAGATATGGGCTCATCACTTGCTTTCGTATTTCAAATACAAATGCAGAATTTGTTTTTGTCCATTCGGCTGGATGCCAGACTGAGCATCTACCCATTTTATAAAAGCTACAGCCCCAGTAGCTTCTTTCTTGAATAATCAGATATATTTCTTTACACCACTCTGTGCCTAGTGGTGAGTGAACCACAGATTTGGAGTCTGTATATGGAGATGTGTAGCACTGTGTTTTGTGCACTTCACATGCTGATACGAGTTCAGGCTGAAACACCAAGAGGAAATCATCCAGTGCTGTGTGATAATACAGTTGCCAGGCTGTGATTCTTTGGCTGGAATAAGGATATGCTTCATATTGCCATGTTGGACTTGCTCTGTGAGGCTGAAATAACACATGGCAGGGCCACCGCCATCCTCTCTTAGCTTCCATCTCCTTTTTCACACTGCAGTTGACAATCAGGGACCTCTGGAAGACGCGACTTCAGGCTTCAGCATTTTAACAATTCATAAAAGTGTTGAAATCAATCGGAGCCGAGGAGATTTATTAAATCTCTCACCGCGGGCCGGGAGAGGGAAGCGAGACTGAGGCGTAAAAAAAGAGGAAGGCGTAAAAAAGAGAAAGCATCGGGGTAATACTCACATTGGCTGACACAAGGGAAAAGCAGCTTTTAAAGCGTTTAGCTTTAATTTCATTCAGGAGTGACATAATTGATTTTAATGAGATGTTTATAGAGTGAAGTGGCGGTGTTGCTAAATCATTTGCCAGTCTGCCTGTCGGGCTGTGCCGAGCCCCGCGCTGGGGAAAAGAACAGCACACTCCAGCTTATGCAGCCAAAATTGACTAGAATCTGCTCTCACTCTGTATCGCTCTCTTTCTGTCTCTTTCTCCCATGCAGCTCGAACAGACTGTTCTCTCTCCCTCCCTCCTCTCTCTGTACCTCCATCTCTCTGTCTCTTTTATTTCAAATTATTACTCTTTTTTTACTTTCTCACATCTTCTCTTTACATCCTTCTCTGTCCAATTATCATTTCTGTCTTCTTGTTTCCATTTGTTTTTCCTCACACTCTTTTTCTCATTGTTTTCATTTCTCTTTTTCTTTCTTTTCCACGTCTTTCCTCATTCTCTCCTTTTTTCTCCCTCTCCCATACAGCGTGAATAGACTGTTCTTTTCACATCCTTTTCTGTCCGTCTCTCTTTTTCTGTCTTCCTGTTCTTCTTTTTCTGTTTCTCTTTGTTTTCCCTCTCATTATTTTTCTCTTTGTTTCTTTCTTTCTTTTTCCCCATCTATCTCTTTCTTTCTTGCTCTTTTTACCTGTCTCTCTCTTTGTTTTGCACAGCCAAAATTAGACAAAATTTACTAGAATTTGCTCTCTGTTTCTCTCAGTCATTCTTCCTCTTTTTTACTATTTTCTCTCCATCATTCTTCCTCCCTTTTTTCTTTTTCTTTCATTCTTACCCTCTTCCTTTCTCTTTTTCTTCCCTCTCTTTTTCTTTATCTCTGACTACTTTCTCTCTCTCTCTCTCCCTCTCATATTCTCATTGTCTGGCTCACTTTCTCTCACGATCCTGTTTGATTTAAAGCCAGTCTCTTCAACAAAATGTTTTCTAGGAAGAGATAAGCGTGAATGTGAACTTTGCAGCCCTTTTTTCATTATGCTCTGTGCTACTATGTAAAGCTCCAGTGAGTGCTGCAGCTCTCCGTCTGTTCCCTTGCTGTTCTCAGCTGGCTGTGGGTTGGACGTGAGACTTTGCTGTAATGTTAGCCAGGCTGGTGGATTCGAAGGACTTTGATGAAATTCTGAACACAACAAAGCTCACCTCCCAGAAGAGAATTCTGTGCACCTTGTGGGCTTTGATTCTGCACCCCTTGCTCTGCCCGGCAGGAGACACACACAGACACACACACACACAGACACACACAGACACACACAGCCACAGAAGAGAGAATGGTGGTGTGTTCAGTATTCAGGTGCAGACCTTGTCTCCTGCTCCTCTGGTGTTATTACTTATTTATTATTCATGATGCGCGTACGGCGCTCATCGACTCTGTGCCGTGACTGAGTGTGACGTGCTCTCGCTGCAGATGGGCGGCAACGACGCCCCAGAGAGCCGCCGCCATCTCCTCTGACAGTCCAACAGACGCCTGTCCACTGAGACCCTTCAGTGTGTCTGGTCATGCAGTGGTCAGTGTTGGGGTGAATTAGGGGTGGAGGCTTTTGGGGGGACTTGGGGGGCGTATATGTGAAGTGAAGTGGTGGCATGTCTGCCCCTGACAGCATCTTCCCCATGTCCTCGGACCACCGGCTGCCACTTTGCGCTCCAATCCGGCGCTGATTGATTGACAGGCCAGGCGCTGTGAGCAAATGATTATGAAGCTGTGCGCTGTGTGCTGCGAGGGTGATTGACAGCTTCTCCATGTCCTTCCACACGCACACACAAACACACACACACTTACCCACACACCACTGATGAGCCCATGGCCCTCACCTCCAGTGTTCCTGACCAGCAGCTGGGGACCAGAACATTTCTTCCTCCTTTGCCAGGCCCAGAGGTGAACGCTCTGCCCCTGCAGCACTTTCACACCCTCTTTCTTTCATCAACACTCTCTCATGGGCAGATTATTAATATCACACTCTCTCTTCCCACCCCCAGCCATCAGGGAGCCTTGTCAGAGGCGGCACCAGCATGCTGGTTGTGAGGAGACTCTTTATCTGCCCATTTCAATAGGTTCCTGCCCTACAATACCTGCCTCAGCTTTTGTAGCTCTGTCATAGCACAAGAATGGCCTTTAGATCTTTCACTGTGTCCACAAAAGTTGTCTTACAACTGAATATGTTAAATAAATGTGCTGCTTACGTGCTAGAGGATGTTCTCCTAATGCAACACATCAACAAACATCTACATTATTGCTGCTGTAAGGAAACCTTGTATCTCCAAAAAGGTGACTTTATGGGAAAAGGAAAAGAGCATTCTGAACTGATACATATGAGATTTTACAGCAACTAATTTTGGACCAATTCTATTTCATTTTCATATGGAAATACCAGCTGCTTACATGGTTTAATGTTTCAGAATGATATATTCCTCTTAACCTCGAATGGAAGTAAATGAAACAAGAATTTCTGTTGGTCCATTGATGTGAAAATTTTAACACATTGAAAACTGTATGGAGATATGTTTTGGAGATGAAAAAAGGTTTTGCTCCATATGGACAACGACAAACATTGTTTACCTTAGAAAGCTTCTATTTAAATTTAACATTTTAAATGTAAAATTTAACATATTTTAAAATAGCTTTAAAAGTGTAGTTCCGTGTATGTTAGTTATAAGCGTTGCAGTTAGGATGTAAAATATGCAAAATATACTGAATATGAATAGATGATATTTACTTTGCTTTTCTAGATCTGGCACCTAGATTATGTGTTACACAATTTTGTCCATGTTCTTTTTGGCTAACTTATTACTTATTATTACTTAGCTCATTACATTTAGCAACCATTTTGTTTGTGTAAATGTGGTAAGGTTTTTTTAGGAACACTTTAATGTAGGGACAGGGTTTATAAGACTACATGACACCTACATAAGCCTCATAGGACAAATGACATAACCTACATTATTATTGTCATAAAAGCTGCTTTGGTCAATTTTGATGTCATACAGTAAAGTGCTCTTTATGAAAAATGGAATTACATCACTTTTACATCACCAAGCTTTTGCTGGGGGAAAGTAGTTTTTTCTAATGATGGGGCTGACGAAAGAGACTGATCAGAGTTCAGCTAACCTACCTGTAATTTCCAGCCATACTGATTTCTCTTTGACTGATATCAGCACAAACACACAAACATCCCTCGAGTGATTCCCCCATATTATTACAGCAGACCTGTCTTTAGTCCTAACCTTGCAGACGGACAATCAGAGAGAAAAGCTGGAAAATGACAGGTTTGGCCATGATTTATTCAACAGGACAGCGATTTCTGACGCACCCCCAAGGCATGATTTCCATACCAACAAATGCTGAGAGCTGTTGTGATTGCTTTTCAATCATCCGAGACAAACACTAATTAGATTTTTTTTCTTTTTGGCCTGTGGAATAAGAGGTTTCTGATATTGGAAGCATGCGAGGCAGCCTGGCAGTCAACCGTCACACACTTTCACCCGTGCATCTTGCCCATCTGTTAATGCCATTGTTTTCCTTTGAGCCAGTAACAGTTGGGCTGTTTTTTTTTTGCAGTCTCAGTAATCATGAGCTAACAGGTAGTAACTTTATTTTTCTGATGACTTTTTTGTGTCCCAGGAAAAAAAGATATATAATGCATTTGAATGATGTTGAAAACTGGCAAATACCAGTTTTCCCATTGTAAAGTGCACTCAACGGCTGACAAAGTCATATTGGCAGCTGATTAATTCGGGATTCTAGATGATACTCGAGTATACCAGATATGATGTATAACGTGACCTCTCACCCTTTATGTGAGTGAAAACGCTAAGCGTGCAGTGAAGGTGAAAAATACATACCTGATGTGCTTCTATTAGATCTCTATGTTCTTTAACAGAGAAAAGAAAAAGTAGGGTACGTACTCTCCGAACCTCCATACGTTCTTTTCCTGTGTGGTGGGTGTGTCTATGAATGAGCATCCAAATGGTGTTTAGTCGTATTTACTAGTTAACCATCTGGTATATACAGCCTTATGATAAGCACCCAAACGCACCGATAATTCTGGTAGCAACTGCAGGTAACCAGCAGGTGCAGCTTTAATGAGACTGATCTGAGTGTGTCTGTGTGTGTGTGTTTGTGTGTGCTTATGCCTCCAGACGGACGCTGCTCTGATGTACGATGCGGTGCATGTGGTGGCTGTGGCTGTTCAGCAGTCTCCTCAGATCACGGTCAGCTCACTCCAGTGCAACCGCCACAAACCCTGGCGCTTCGGCAACCGCTTCATGACACTCATCAAAGAGGTACTACACCAGGTGTTGTGTATATGTGTGTCCTGTGTGTGTTCTGGGTGTGTGTTATATTTAAAGGCCCAGTTAATGTAGTGTTTTCACCCTTGTGAACAGAATCACACTAATTTCAATGGAAATTGCAGCAGTTAAGGGCTTCAATTCACAGACTTCCAGAACGTGCAAAACTTAGTTTTGAGTTCAACTTTGGAGAATTTTGACAAGCAATTTGGCTCCATCAACCAACAGCACAGTTGTTTTGACTCCACCAAACTCTGCATTGCCCGTCGTATAGCAGCACTGGACATTCCAAAATCAGGGGTTGTGCTACACATCCAAATGTTTTGGGCCAAAGGTCTATTTCAAACACAGCTGGCTGAGTGACAAATTGCAACTACACCACTACTTTTACCGTCATGCTATATTATATGTATGTTTTATATATATATATATATATATATATATATATATAAATATATAAAACATGCATATAAAACAATATATATATATATATATATATATATATATATATAACATCAGAGATGTTAGCAATGAAAGGCTGAATCCTTTGAAGCCTGGGGTGGGAATCTCTAGGCACCTCACGATACAGAGGGCTGCAATGCGATTATAAAACGATTATCGATGCATCTTGATGCATCTTTTCTTTCTATACAGGATTTCTATTTTATTAATAAATCAAATGGAAGTGATGTGGCAAGTGAACTGGAAGGCTCTCATTCACTGCTGTTGTTTGGGGCACATGAGATGCTGCTGCCACTCATCTGTGATAAAATGTGCAGTTACAGTGAAATAAGATCCTGTGGTAATGGATGTCCACGCAGCACATTACAGCCGTCCTACCCGTTTTTAGTGACTTTATAACTTCAGTTTTGGTCTCATTGTAGAGAGTGGGGGTTGCTGTGTCAGTAAAATATCTTTGAGATGGGACGTGTGCAACATAGCCCGAAAGCCCTGGTTCTCAACGACTGAGAACTGGCGTGCAGACTGCAGGTCACACAGCAACGCAGTCTCGCCTGGCTAGTAGCTAACAAAAAGGCAAAGAGAGATTTAAGACAAACATTTGGAGATGAATGGACTTATTCGCATTTATAAGCAGCGCAGTTGGTTTTCCTGGAACGTTAATCCTGCAATGAGAGACTGTTAAACACTAAAAAGCGAAGATGAAGTCAGCTTCTCTTTCGAATTGTCCCGTTCCACCTTAAACAAACAAAAAAATTCGAACAAAAAGCTGGCGAATGAGAAGCGACTTCAGCCTCGTAAAACAGTCAAACGTTGAGAGACATTTTATAAGAAACTGATCTACTTTTGAGGAACGGTTTTCTGGCGGAGATGGGAGGAAGGCGGCTATAGCTAAAGCTTAAAGCAGAGCGAAGTAAATCTGTGTTTTCGTTTATATTTTTTAACCTACACTACGACATTATCACACACTGAGACATAAAATGTTGTGGCTCCCAATGTGGTTTGATTTTTGTTGAAAGGACAAAATGGCTCTTCTTAACATTTGTGTTGTGACTCCTGACCTAACCTGGCTTTTAATGCAGAGGGAGCCGGTCGGATTTCTCGCTCACCCAGTTGTGTTTTTGTTACGTGCCGCCACAGACTGTCCGGGCGCTGCACTTGCCCACTTCCAAGTTCTATCTTTTGCATTCCGCCAACATTACGTTCTAAGTTAAAATTTAAAAAATCGATTTTTGACATTTGTGCATCAATTCAGAATCGTCCACATCCGCATCGCGATGCATCTAAGAATCGTTTTTTCCCCACCCCTATATATATATATATATCACTGCAACAGCATTTTTACAGGGATGCAAGCGTTGTTACTTTCACATCTGCCACATGTAAATAGAAAAATGGAAATATAGATGCGTATTGTCTACATTTATCACAGTCAAAGCAATAATAAACCTGACTTGATATGTGCTGTTTTATTACTGGGTTACCAATTTGAATTTAACCAATCAGATCGCTGATACATGGCTGATACGATTGCTCTGCAATCCATGTGCCAAATCAAACACATCTTTGTGATTTTTGCTGTGCTGTTATCAACAGCAGCTTGAGCTGCAAGAGCAACATGAGCTGTAAAGAGTAAAATGTTTAAACATTCTCTTGTTTGATTTGGACCATCATAAAAATGTGTTTCTACCAGCAGTAAACCAAATCATGGTTCACTTAGAAGTGGAACAAGACCTGTGATTTTTGCCAGACAACAGTTCATGTCAAAGAGCTGAAAGCAACATTAGTTGAGAGCTATTCAAACCGACATTCACATAGTGTAGGAACATAAACTGAGTGCATTACTTGGTGTGTAAAAACATTTTCCCAATTAAGTGAGCAGCTCCTCTGACTGAAGACAAACTCACAAAGGCTTCACTGTTTTGGAAATGTCCGGCCTCACGATTGAAATGGACATTTTGATTGGTTTTGCTAAAGAGTTTGTTTTAGCTTTGTGTCTGTAGGTCAGCGCTCTGTAAGTGTAAGCATCCTGAACTCATCAAACAGTGGTGAGTCATCGCCCCAGTACTTGAAACATGGTGGTTCAAATGTTCACTCACCCCATGGTTCCAGGGGCCCTGACTAAACTGGGGCACTAATTTTAGCAATGACTAAGCACAACATTTTATATTATTCTTCCCTACCCACCTGTAAATTAATACATGAAAGAAAGATTACATAGGATGTGGTTTGTGTGTAGCTGAATTAAATTATATATATATAATATCTTCATGTACAGCTGGTATAATACTAATTTTTGCTGACGCAGCTATCGAGTTTCTGATGTTTTGTTAGTGCAAACAGTGGTGCACATAAACATTTCATGACAGCTGTAGCTAAAACACAGTCAATTGTTATATAAATAGACACTCACAATTTTTACATATTTTTACATTGTATGTGGCAGTTTTACATTGATTTTCATTAAAATTTAAACGTAAAGCCTGTTACTGAATATTTCTGAAGTCTTTTAGCCTGTTAGCTATCTACTGATAAGGATAGCTTACTGTTTAGCAGCTTTACTGCTAAGAATTTTCATGCAGATTAACACAGGCTTAACTTCAATATTAACACATGACTAGCAGAATATAAACTCTTTTTAGGCTCACGTATTTTCACAGATTGTATTCCCTTCTCTGATTCTGTTTCAATTTGTAACTCTTGCAATAATGACTTTGTTTCTTGAGATTCTGTGTTAGTTTAAATAAATTAAAATAATGAAAAGTGAAAATATGAGTTATTACTCATTGAGAAAGTATGCAATATTTTGAATATAATAATTATAATTATTATGATAATTATTTTTTAAAAAATTATACATTTTGACATTATAAGTTAGTAAATTCGAGAAGCAGATCCATGCTGTATGCATTTGAATGCTTGTAATACTACAAAATTCCAGTTTCATTTCACTGTGTGTATCCTGGTCATTCAAAACTATAGGATTTGAACTTGTGATGGTGTGACCTCTACATGCAGTGCATCAACGGCTGTAACATTTTGTCAAGAAAAGCCACACCACATGCAGAAGCCATAGGGTTTATGATAGTACACATTTTTTTACGTTTGCTCCTAAATGCTTTTAGAACAACAGTCTACAGGGATCGAAGGTTCCAGTACAGGATTTTGGCAATGACACACCTTAGAAATAGGCTGATTCCTTGAACATTACCCTAACTACTGAAGTGTGGAGCTTTTTGAGACACCCTCAATCTCACCACAGTATTGCTAGCCGCAGCTGAAATCGAACTTTCCAGTCCTGCTTTGGTGACACTGATTCTGCAATGAGATGCAAACTGCATTTTTAGCTAGGCTGCAGCCTAAGAGGCACCTCTGGATGACCATGAACCCCGGCTCTGCAATACTGCTCTCCTGCTGAAAACTGATCTTAATCACTGCTAATTATTCTCCCTCGTGCTGGTTTGAGGAAAAACTGGGGCGTCTAATCCGAACCCTCCCTGTCATTTAAGTGCAGGATTCTGCGGGCTATATTTAGGCTGCGTAAGACCCTGGGCTGTATTCTCTGTGTGATATCACAAGCAGCCCCTGCTTTGGCTCAGACCGCTGCGCTGTGCAGGATTCTGACACATTAAAGCACAAAACGCCTGCTCGCCTCCGACTGCAGCAGTGATCAGCCCAAATCTCTCCACTCAGTGGGCCGGCCCCTCTCAGGTCCTCCCTCCCACCCTCTTTTGAATCCTTTTTGTGCTGAACTTCAAGCAGAGCCATGGACGGTAAGCCTGGGCAATAGTGTGGAGTCGGCCGAATGGGGCTGCTGTTTAGCCCAAGACACCTGCACTCATCTCTCTCTCTGAACACAGTGGAGCTCTCATCTGAGCTGACACCCTGGATCAGTTAAAGACACAGCTAGTGTGTGTACAGCTTAGAAGTGGCTTTAAGGCAACGCAGAAATGGAATTAACGAAATCAGACAAATATCAAGCGCTGAAGCAAAAATGAAATAAGAAATCATCTATCAGTATGGCAAGCAGCACAGAGAGGAAAATACAGTAAATAACTGTTCATAAGAATAATACACAAAAGAACAATTTGGATTAGTTTTCCATGGGGAGGTGGGGTAATGCAGTTTCATTACAAGAGGTCTGTAATATTTTTGGCCAATTAGCACGAGATAAGAAATCTTAGTATTGATTACAGAGATAGAAGTGACTTCTCAATTTATGTGCTGCCTTCATTCCAAAAAAGAATAGAACACATAAAAAATATTTTATTTAGCCTTTATTTTGTTTAACCTAACTATTTACCTAGTTGTATTTATATATACATTTGTAATGAATGCAATGTGACATTGGTGTTATTATCTTGTGAATATACTGCCAATAGTCAACATCACAGCATAAAATCAGTCTTTTTTTTTATTTTTTTTAAAGGGCCCATATCATATAGAACCAAAACAAAAAAGTAAAGAAGTTTAAAATATAAACATTGTTAGGTTCATAATGTAAACATTTGCAAGTTTCAAAATGTGTCATTCACTTTACAGTCCATATATGGAAACTATATTGCAAAAAGGCTGATTTAAATTCTGTTATGTCATGAGAACCAACTCATGTACATATATACATCTGTTCAACCCACAGCGGTTTAGCTCTGCCCACTCATACCGAAGTTCTAAGTAATTTTTCAGCTCTAAATGCTTTTTAAATGAGGCATGTAACAGAACAGCCAATCAGAGCTCATTTATCTGATGTCAGTCTTTAAGGCACAGTAACAAAAACAGCCTGTTTGATTCTGAAGAGAAGTTAAAATGGTGAAAAAATTAATTGTGACCATTTTTGGTGCATGAAACCACACAAGTGTTAGAAGTGGACAAGAAAAATGTAGGATATAAGCGCCTGACTATTAGGAGTTGTATTTTTGAAGCAGAACTAAACATATTGATTGAGCCACAAAAAACACAAGTTAACACTTTTTGATGGCCTCCATACTTAATTAAAACTGTGAAAAATCCTTTTCCACAGGATATGATGGCTTATTTACCAATATGCAGTTTGCACAGGATTAATGCTACAGTCCGTTTTTTACTGAAGCAAAAATGTGCAGTCCATAAAAATGACTGACAGCGAATTCAGATTTAACCAAAATCACTGAGAAACGCCCATAAAATTCACATTACCTTGCCTCCCCATGTAAAACGAATCTTTTACAAATAGTACTACAGGGGACAGTAACGCACTGCATGAAGAAACTCTTCTTATACATGCTTCTAGGTCTCCTTCCTTGCCTCTGAAATAAGCCAAAACCCAGAGGAGACCCCTAAAAATACTCTTAAATGCATGCCTTTGTCGGTGTGTGTGGGTCATTGTTCTTCGTCAGTATGTGTGTGAGTATGAGAGCTTTTCTGGTTTCTGCTTTTGTGACCTGCTTGAAGGTGAGCTGTATGTTCCAATGAATAATGAATTTCCCTGTTTTGCCAAAGAGGGATGGATTCTTCTTGGCTGGTGCTGCCTGGTCATGATGAATATTTCTCTCACACCTCCAGGCCCACTGGGACGGCTTGACCGGACGGATAAATTTCAACAAAACCAACGGCCTGAGGACAGATTTCGATCTGGATGTGATCAGCTTGAAGGAGGAAGGATTGGAGAAGGTAGCTGTGCTAAACCCTCTGTACAAAATGCTTGAGCCTGTATACACACTGATTCATACTGTAAAAAATGCCAGAGCTCTTCATTATGCAGACACCATTCTCGGGTATGTAGAGTACACACCTACACACAGACGCATGTGCGCACACACACACACTCACACAGCCACGCTCGTCGTCTCACACAAGAGTTTCCCTCTCAAGCCGCCTGTGACCTCCCATCTCGCCGGCGCATGTGTCTGCACCTCCATGAATAATTTACTCTATTAATAAAAACCCCCTTCAGAAGCCCTCCAGCCTCATGAAGGCTGAATTAAAGAGTTGATTTGCAATTACAAACTACAGCTTAGGCGTTTTCTGAAGGCATCTGAAGCACTTTGTTTTTGAATGGGTGAGAGTGTGTGGTCCCGCTGTGCTCTCTCTGTGGAGCCCACAACTCTCAAGAGCATCCTCAGGATTAATTGTGCCAGGTCTTAGAGAGAACACCCTGCATTCTTCTGCCCGTCAAGCTCACTTTTCTAGTCTCTCTCTGGACGATTTAGCATGTTCGGCCTTCCTTTATGCTCCTTTACATAAGCACTTTGCCACACTATAATTAGTTCAGACTGCAGTGTTTTATAAGGCCGATGAAGGTGGTTATACAAGCTTTATGAATTCCTGGATTATACAGGATTTCTTTTCAGACTATCAGTTGTTGAAATAAGGTGCTTTTGTATGTTTTTTTGATACTGCACATACAAGGTTATCATGTTGTCTCTCTGCAGATTGGCACGTGGGATCCTGTAAGTGGTCTGAACATGACGGAACACCAGAAGGGCAAGATGGCGAATGTCACAGACTCTCTCACCAACAGAACGCTCTATGTATCTACAATACTGGTAAATATTGCCAACTTGTCAGTTCCAGGTGTTCCCCAGGTTTATACCTATTCAAACATTTTAATTAAAGAAAAAAGAACAGAGTTTTTCATCAGTTTTCATACTTCTAAATTCCTAGACTGAACTGTGATGATTTTCGGGTTGATGTGCTGTAATCCCTGGCATTAGCAGATTGGCACCAAATTGACATCCTGATAATTAATTGCATTTAACATTAGACTTTGTGGTCTGAGACTTTCTCACTCATTATACTTCACGCCAAGAATAAGAACATCTTTACACTAAGAACAACATACACTATATGGACAAAAGTATTCAGACACCCCTCCTAATTATTGAGTTCAGGTGTTTCAGCCACACCCATTGCTAAAAGGTGGATAAAATTAAGCACATAGCCTTGTAGTCTCGATAGACAAATTTAACTAATTTGTAACTTAACTTTTAAATACATGGCAGTAGAAGATGAGCACAGTGACTTTAAACCTGGCACTGTCATTGGCACTGCCACCTCTACCACAAGTTTTCTGTCCTGCTAGATCTGCCCCTGTCAACTGTAAGTGCTATATTGTGAAATGAAAGCAGCTAGGAGTAACAAGAGCTTAGCCACAAAGCGGTAGACCACGCAAACTCACAGAGTGGGGCTGCCGAAAGCTGAAGCGGACAGTGCCAATCCTCCATTGAATCATTCACTAATGAGTTCCAAATTGCCTCTGTAAGCAACATCAGCAAAAGAACTGTGCATTAGGAGCTTTGCGAAATGGCTTTCCAAAGCCGAGCAGCTGCACACAATCCTAAGATCAAAATGCACAATGCCAAGCGTTGCAGGGAGTGGTGTAAAGCACACCGCCACTAGACTCTGGAGCAGTGGACAAGCATTCTGTGGATGCTGAATCAGGCTTCTCTATCTGGCAGTCTGATGGACGAGTCTGGGTTTGGTGAATGCCAGGAGAACATTACCTGCCTGACTGCATTGTGCCAACTGTACAGTTTGGTGGAGGAGGGATAATGCTATGAGGATGTTTTCAGGGGTTTGTCCATATAGTGTATCAGCTAACATGAAGAAATTATACACAACACATTTATATAATGCCTTGCATGTACAATGTCAAAATATAGGATGTGATATGTTGTTCAGCTGTGCATTAAGCTGTAAAAAAAAAAAATCATTAAAAATTGTCTCATATATGAATCATAGTGATAAAATGGAGGGTGTTCAGAATAGCAAAATCAAAGCAGTTTAACAATCATAAGCAAGCTGTTCAAATATGAAATATCAATATTAGCTAAACAGAAGATTATTCTCACAAAATCCTGTTCAGTGACTGTGCATGTGGGTAATATTTTAAAATTTTAAGACTGGAGACATGCCAGAGGCAGACAAGGAGAGACACAGAAATGCAGAGAAAATGTGTGAGAAATAGAATGTGCAACAGGCTTTATGTATTTCTCTAGCTTCAAATTAAGCAAAACATGGGTCCGATTTACTTGTTTTCACTGATTTGCTGTTTAACACAGGGCAGCTTCATTTATATGTTATAACGTCAGTGAAAGAGCTTTTGATATTTTTTTAACATACATTCAAGCTAAGCTGGCTCCTTATGCAACCATTCCATTTCTTAATCAGTTAATTAATTTTAGTGTTGTATTCTTGTGATAGAAGACATTCATAGTTAAAGCCTTACCCTGAATAAGAAACTATTTGAAGAATGCAGTATGCTTTTGAAATTTCTGCCCTGTTACATCACTTGCAGCCTGTTAGCACAAGGCCGTTCTGGTCTTCATTGACAGTGTGAGCCCTTGTCAGTTTTCATGGGAGCAAGGAAAAAATGAAAACATTGATGGCTACAAAGCAGCATGTGGAGTTTGATGGAAACAAAGTGGAATATGGGGTCAAAACAGATGAATACCTGCAGTCTTTCAGAGCTGTCCACATCACATTCAACTATGGGCTGCCCAAATGCCAGAGCTCAAGCAGCTCCAATTAAAGGTTAAAGACAATTATGAGGAAAGAGTACACAATATCATTTTTTCCTGGCTGTTTCTTCTTTTTTATGTTGCAGTAGTACTGGTGCTATGCTCAGTTCCCCAGCAACACTTGAAAATTCATTGGGGTGTTATGAAGGCATGCGCAACAGGAGTGAGAAAGCAGAGGAGCGTTTAACTAACAGCACAGGCTTTACAACAATGTGACATCACGATTTTAACCCTATTCCCATTTCCCAGTGGGAGGTGCTCAATAAACATCCTGTGTCCTAAGCGAGAGAAACAATTAATTAAAACAGAATTCAATAGATGTTTTCTTATTTACTCTTCACACACAATGTTGCAGTTGCCAATCAGAATGAATTAAGCAGTACAAATCCTAGCTCTCTTCGACAGGTGCCTGAGGATCAAAGGTGTCACAAGAGAGAGAGAGAGAGAGAGAGAGAGAGAGAGAGAGAGAGAGAGAGAGATAGAGAGATGTGAGGAGAGAGGTAGGGTATAAGTGATGAAAGCCAGTCTTTGTATGAAACTTTAATGTGCTCAGGTTTGCTGAAGCCTCTATTGTGCAGTTGGTCTGTGGAAAGTGTTTTTAATGGGCCAAGAGCAAATGCAAACAAGCTGGAGCTTCACTTAAATGTCTTCAGGAAGTGTTATGATCAAGAAACTATCTGCATTACAGAAGCGAAAACTGGATTCTCTTATGTGTTTAGGGTGAACTTGAGAGTTGGTATAATGGCAGTAACTATATTAAGCAGGATGAAAATAAGTGATCAAAGTAACTATATAATCGATCGATCGCAATATTGCGATTGCGATATACCTTGCAAAATATGAAAGCACTGATGAATTAAAAATGACTAAAGATCAGCCTGCATTATTTTGCTCAAAATAATTTACTTCTGTTAGTTTAAATATATGTAATTGGCAAAGATGCTCACAGCAAACAGCATTAACCCTGTCGACCCGAGTGTCCTGCCTGCAATCTATTCTGAGAATTTGGTATTAGCCCCTTAATATTTTTAAATCTGTTGCCAGAGGAGAATCAGCATGTGCATGTTTGCATAGGTCAAAGTGAAACATGTAGGCTACCATGTTTTCTATCCCTGTATAAAGGATGCACAAGACTTCCTTTATTGTTGGATACAGTGTGATTTTTGTGTGAGCTCATTCAGAGCACAATTTGAATTGGTAATTGCTTTTTAGTGTTTTAATTCACAATAATAAGAATAAAATAACTGATGCGTGACTTATTTTCATATTCATTTGTTTGCGCAAAAGATAGATCATGAGACAAACTGAATAAAAATCTATGATGTTTTTCAGCTTTGTAAGATCATGTTCTTTACATGTCAAATAACTGCAACAATGTGGTTGAGAAATCATGTTGTTATAGGGGACCAGCAGATTACACTGTAGAAATAGCCATGCGTTTGTGTCTGTCATAAAGGGTTAAAAATGATTTGATTGGTTAGAGTCCTTATTTGCATATTGCAGACTTCTAAAATTATAATTGTAATAGTATTAATATTAGTTCAATTAAGGCCAATGTTGATTATTAGGCATTCAAAACTTTTTGTCTTGGGAAGCTAAAGTGCAATGTTTGTAGTAGGCCCAGGTGCAGAAAGACAAAATAATGTAAATAAAGAAAGTAGATTGGTTTTAAATTAAGTTAAAAAAGTGATAACATTAAACTGTATTTTGTTATTAAAATATTCTAACAATACAATTACAAAAGGAAAACAAGAATTCAATAAGTTATATAATATAAAAATATTTGTTTTCTCATTGATTGAGGGTGATTGAGGGCAGGCTAAATCAAATATCCTCACGTGCCAGCTTTGGTCAGCCCTGCATCAGAATATCTGTTATCTTTATATGTCAATCGTCTTACCCCAGCTCAGTGGCACAAAACTGAGCCTAATGGACTTTAATTTAGTTCATTCCACAATGATATGATAAAATAACTGACCACAAGAAAGGAGCCAGGATCAACAATCCATGCATCTGTAGTCATGAAGCTATATTTAGTGTTGTGTATACTGTTCTTTTTATTATTATTATCCCTCAGTGTGATCTGCAATCAGAGGCAAGTGGCTCATTCTTGTTAATTCTGAGTGCTAGAGGGCTGCTGCTGAATGACACACACAGGAACAAAGCAGGGCAGGTGATCAATGAACCTAAAATAAATGTTTAAAAATGGCTCAAACGAACCAGTATCATTTGTTTTTGTGAGACACAAAATCTATTTTTTAATTCGTTAAAGAAGAATAGAAAGATGACTTTGCATTTAAGGAATGTATCTCTGCTGCTCTGAAAATGCTTTGGCAATTTATTTAGGTTCGTCTGACTGAGTGGTCTTTATTCCCACCTCTCCACTCTTTTTAATTACAGATGCAATAGCATTTCATCTTCTGAGGCTTTGGCCAGAAATTGTTAGAGGCATGTAGGACATTAACATTCACATGTACCTTTGTCAGGTACTACACTTTCTTGCCCCTACATGACACATTTCATACTGGCTTCTTTACCGGCCGAGGTAAACTCTGTACACCAGCACTACTACTGCATTAGATTATCTGCTTATGCATTGTAATGAGTTTAATGGAGAAAGCAGAGTTTTAATTGACTTTAATGAGCATATCAGGACTGAAAGTTGTAATCTAAACCAAGACTAGGCTTAATTTTTGTGTAACTTGAATAGAATGGATGTAAGTAAGAATAAGATTCAATCACATTGCAAGATATTGCAAGACATGTTTTTTGTTTTGTTTTCGTGTTTTTTTTTTTTGACAGGAGGTGCATTTGAAAGCTGCCCTTTATATTGTGTGTAAATTACTTTGGAATCTTTATACATTAACTTGAATTAAATGTTGTTGAATGTTTTTTCCTTCTCCTGTTAAGTTACCTTTGTGGAGAAGCAAAAGAAAACAACAGTATTTTAATTAACTAAACAAAAAGAGGATATCAGAAGGCTGTATTTCAAATATGATGCCTTTATCTTAAAACTGCAAGAATTG